TTGCTTTCTAAAATAATTAAGGCAAAATGAAACCCCCTGTTTTTTTTCTGGCACATACATTGATTCATCTGATGAACACAACATTACTCTTTCTTAGCTTTACCAAGTGTATCTATTTTCTCATAGAGACTCTGAGGGTAAGTAACCAGGCCAAGATTATACAACGAATTAGGTAAAGACAGGCCATGTTGTATAAGAAGAGTCAAAGCTAGCAATGATCCCAGACCACAAACCATGCCTTTTCCTTTATGCAGCCCTGCCTCTCTTTCAATTTATTGACTTCTTATAGTTGGACATTATCACTGTTTTCTCCCCATACCCAAATCTCCATACTCCGAACGCCTAACTTGTTAGCATTGAAGATATGGCACATTTAATGCTGCCTATTGCTTCAGAGTCTTTTTAGATTCATTCTTGGCTTTCCCAGTAGAAGCAACTACAAAACAAAACAGAAAAAGAAAAACAACCCATATTTCCTTACACTAGAGGCCATTTGCATGGTGTTTCTGGACTTCCCGTTCCTGAGAATTCTCCAGATAGTCATTACTTACTCTCTCCTTCTCTCTCTATCAAGAGAAGGGAAACTAGCAGAATGACAATATTTTACTATTTTGAAAGTTCAAATCCACTGGTTTTCTGTTTGCTTTCTCACTCTCTTAGATATATCCCTAGATACTGATGGGAGAAGGATTATCAGAGGTTTAGAGATAAAGAGAAAGAAGAAGAAAGAGAGCAGTGCAAAACAGTGGTTTGAAGGATGACACAAGCTTAGGCCTATTTCAAAAGAGACAGCCAGAGTGTGCTAGCACTTATGGTGACAACAGAGCTGACAGGATGAGAACTTTCTTTTATCTTTTTTTGCGTTTTCTTCATCTGCAAGGCATGGTGTTCTGGAAATGTCTCCCAAATGCTGGGGAATAAACTGAAGTTGCATCAGTTAGATATTGCCGAGTAACACACAAGTGCACAACTTAGCAGCTTAAAAATTAAGCATTTATTATTTCTCATCGGTCTACATGTCAGCTGGATGGTCCTGTTGATCTACTCTAGTCTTTGCTCAGCTGGGCTTGCTTATATATCTGTGGTCACCTGGTGGGGAAGCTCTGGACTAGCTTCTCACATGTCTGGCTGTCAGCTAGTGTGATGAGTGACTGGGCCATGTGTCTCTCATCATCCATAATTCCAGTCCAGCTTGTTCTCATGGGTTAGGCAGGAGTCCCTAGAGAGAAAGGAATTTATTTGTCAAGGCCTCTTGAGGTCTAGCCTCAGAAATGGCACACCATCACATTTTTGCATTCTATTGACTACAGCAAGTCAAAGACCAGCCAAGATTCAAGGTATGGGAAAATACGCTCCACCTATTGATTGAAATGGATACAAGGTTCAGGGAGGAACGATGACTTGCAGCCAGTTTTGTAGTCTACCATAGTCTTTCTTCCAGCCACAAGTATTTCTCTCAAGTTTCAGTCCCTTTCAGGACCTCCACCAATATCTGGTGATTGACATCATGTCTGGATGCAGCTGCTTATAATCCACAGCCTGTGAATATAAAGACAGGTTACATCCCCAAAACACAAAAGATACAATGGAGAATAGGAATAAAATGACTACAACAAATACTTCCGCTCAAAAAAGGGAAATAACAGGAGGTAAATAGCCAGGAATTGGTTCAGAGCAACTCTGATATCCTCCTGAGTAAATGTTTCTAGGCCTTTCACTCTAGACATGGGGAGAGTTCCTTGATTAGATCTCACTTCTGCTCCCTGGAAGTGGCTCCTCATTTCATTCTTCTCCATGGCTCTTGGCTTTTCCCTTGGTGGCAGGAGGAGAGGTCTTTCCATTTCTGTAGCATTCCTTATGAATTTGAACAACTTTCTCAACTTGCTTACAGGCTACCATAGAAAAGATTGTGATAGACTGATTACAAAAATGTATGCCATTAAAAATTAAGGCCAATTTTTATACCCCTTAAACATGGGCTTGGTCTCGTGATTTGTTTTGGACAATACAAGGCAGCAGAAATGATGGGTGTGTCAATTATGATGCTAAGCTTCAAGAGAGCTTCTCCTGGACACCTGTGAACATCTCCAGGCTAACCTGCTTGTGGAGCATCAGAGACCACATGGAGGAGGGTTCTCTACATCAAGCCATCCTAGACCAGCCAGCCCACAACTAACATGCCAGTTGACTATATACACATGACTAAGGCAAACCAAAATTAGCCAAACCTGGTTCATAACACAAGAACATCCATCAGACCCATACCTTCATGTGTTAAAATAAATGTTGTCATTGTGCACCCAGGGGTTTTGAGGTTATTATTTTTGTTGTTATTGTTATACAATTTTACTATGGCAATAAATACAGGAGGGGGTTTCCTTAAATCAACTACTGGCCTCCAAGCTCAGCTTGTTTCTTGGTCTGAGTAGCTGATGTCTGCCCATGATGGGTGCAACCTGAATCTTGTGTTGTCATCTTTTCTATTTTATCTCTTCCACTTTTTGTATTAAAGATATGAATTTTATTCATAGCTGTTACTTCCATCTTTTCTAATAACAACCAGTCAGGTGAGGAATACAGAACAGGCATCAACTTCACTGATGAAAAAATTTCTGCTCAGAGAGGTTAAGTGATTTGTCTGCTCACACAGTTAGAAGCCAAATAGAGTATACATTATTCTATGCTAATAATGTTTAATTTTTTTTTTTTAAGAAACGGGGTCACACTGTGTTGCCTAGGCTGATCTCAAACTCCTGGACTTAAATGATCCTCTCACCTGAGCCTCCCAAAGTGCTGGGTTTGTAGGCATGAGCCACCATGTCCAGTCAATCTTTAATTTTTTAAAAAAATTATACTATATCATCTCATCTTATCTTTCCTGCCTCACCTCCTGTTTTTTCTGCTTAAATCAAAAGAGGAAATGTAGTTTGGATAACCGAGCTTCCATCTGGAAATCAGTCCTAAATTCTGACAAGCCTACCTGGGCATGGTGCTTCATGCCTGTAATCCCAGCACTTTCAGAGGCTGAGGTGGGAGGATCACTTGAGCCTAGGAGTTGGAGACCATCATGGGCATCAGAGTGAGACCCCATCTCTCCAAAAAAAAAAAAGTTGCTTTTTATGCAGTTTAATTATGTCTTAGAAATCTGTCATCAACCCTATCTGCTATTCAATGATATTATAAGGTTGATTGGAGAAGAAAAATAGAAACCTCCCTTTAACTGTGATTGTAGAGGGAAGAACCATGGATGCAAGTACAAAGAGAAAGATTCCAGGTTAATATAAGATAGAGATTTATAACCTGTCATTGTGAGGGTTCTCATATTTGGTGGGTAGGTAAGCTGGATGACCTTTGAGGACCCTGTCAACTCTAGGAATTAATGACTATGATACTCCAATTTTTTTTAAAAAGACAAAGATATCTATCTATCATCGTATCAGGACAGCTTAGCTACTACTTAAAAGAAAGATTCAGTCAGTAACTATGCTCCCTTACTGAAATGTTCTCATAATCTTTTGTGATGCCACTCTGGTTTTCCTGATACTTTCTTGACTATTTCTTCTCATCCTCTCTCTGTGACTTTATTCCCCACTCCCCCCCCATACCCCCACTAAGTACCTTAAATATAGACACTTTCCCAGGACTCTGATTTAGCTTCCTTCTTTTTAATCTCTATGTAGCTTTATGGGATTATCCACTGCCACAGCCTTTCTGCCACCTACATGCTGATCATACCTAGGTCTTTATTTCTGGTCCTGCGATAGTCATTACTGCTATTTGCCAAATATTTCCAGCTCTCCTTCCTTCCAGGAGGAATGCAGTCCTGGCTCCCTGAAACTAGGCGTGGCCTTTGACTAGTTCTTTGCAGAGATGTCATGTGTCACTTTCTGGTCAAACATTTAATCACCAAGACAAGACCTTCCAGATCTCTCTTTTCCCTCTGGCCCAAGAGCCAATGACTTTCAAAATGGTGACTACTATGTCAGCTTGAGTCTGTGAGTGGCTACAGTGAGCAAAACACTCTTGCTGACCTACAGTAGACGGTAGAGTAAGGAAGAAATTAACCCTGGTTATTTTAAGCTGCTGAGATTTTTATTTTTATTACATCATAACCTAGTTCATCCTAACTGATAAAAGCCATGACTTCTGTCTCTTGAGTTTCAAATCTCTATGTGACATCACCTCCTAACATTTCCATTTGGATGTCAAATGTGTACTTCTAACATTGAATCCCAAACCAATATCACCAATGCATGATGAATCAATAATCTTTCCCCAAGCTCTGCTTCTTTACTTTTATCAACTATACAGTGTTGTTACTATTATTTACCCAGAGAATCAAAGGATAAAAAATTATCTTGTAACCAATCAGGTACTGGGTTTGCATTTATCTCTGTAACATTTTTCACACTCAGGCTCCTCTCTGACAACTATTGCTGTTCTAGTTCAGGTCTTCAATACCTCTGGGTGAACAATTGTATCTGTCTCCAAATGTGCTCCAGTCTCACATTCTAGTTCATTCCCTTAAAAAACCAAAGTTTCCTAAATGCAAATATGACCATAACTATTCTGCTTATTCATCCTTAATATTTCCTCAGGGCCTTCAAATAAGGTTCAAATTGTCCAGCATGGTCTAAAAAGCTCTCTACTATTTCAGGAGCACTCGAGGGAGAAGGACAGGAAATCCAGGTAGAAATTACACCATGGGAAAAGAGCAGAAACAAAAAATGATGATGCTTCATAAGGAAACTGCAAGCAGGTGGGCATGACATTAGCAAGGGACCAATGGAGGGTGGAGAGAGAGAGAGGGAACTAGAGAGGTCCTGTTTCTTTGTTCATGCTTCATTCTCTATCTAAATCATACTTTCTCCCCATTCCAGTCCTTACATCCTCACAAGAAATACCCATTGGCTTTTCAAATTTTTATCTTGAATTCCTATCACTGTGAGGCTTTTTCTGCTCACAATAACACTTTATCAAGCTTTTTTTTTTTTCAGTATTCATCTCCTTCACCAAGCTGGGAGCCTCCTGAGGGTAAAAACAATTCATTTCTGCTATGAATTCATTCCTCAGGAGCCAGCATAATAGCTGCCACATACCAGGTACTCAATCTGGTTGTTGAATGAATAAAGGAATGAGTGAATGGGCGCCCATCTTTAGCCTCTCTTGGCAGCCCCATTCACTATTCAGAATGGGTTGCTTAAAGTTCCAGCTTTACAGATGGATAAGAAAGAGGGGCTATTTTTGCTTTCCAATCTTCCATCTCCATGTTATCAACCCACCCTCCCCACAGTGCCAATCTCTGCCTATAATCCTGTCAGCAGCCAGTTGCTTGGCACCAACAAGGCCAACTCAGCAGTTCTCCCCACACATCCCTGGGGGAAGCCATATACCTTATCACCAAAGACAGAGAGAAAACGCCCATCTGTTACAGCTCTGAGCTAGAAGTCTCCTAATTGTATCAGCACACAGGCTGCAGATCAGATTTCCTTGTTTTTAGGGAGCACTTAGAAAGATTTTTCTGTCTTTTTATTGTTGTTTTCTCCCCAGCAAGTGACCATATTTCATCTCCACCGAGACACAATGAAAGAAATTTCCAAGCAAATTTGTTGCCTAATGATTCCAGAGAAGGTGCTTAGAACCATAAATGTCTTCTTGAAAATCTGTAGAGGAGCCCAGCTCTGTAAACTTTTTAAAATTAGCACATAGTAAATGCACAATTCTTGTGCTGGGTCAATACCCGAAATGAAGGTGATAATGGCATCAGAGGGGCTCCCAGAATAAGCATCATTCCAGCACAAAAGGTATCAGCCTTGGAAAATTGACTGGAAGGTTTCCAAAGACACCTGCAAGGGCAAGGTTGAAATTACATGGCCATTTCTCAAACATGAACCCGTGGGACTTCTAAGTGTCTCAGGAAACCACTAAGCTGGGAAAACATGCTTGGACTTTTAATCAAACTCCTCCTGGTGACTTGTACAGTCATTGCTGGGCCTATTTCTCCATTTGTAACATAGAAAAGAAACCATCCTGGTCCCAGACATTTTTTTGTTCTCCCAAGAAAGGAAGATGATTGAATTTCATAAAAGTATTTGAACACTTAGAACTAAACAAATTGTTTGTGCAATTAACATGCAGCTGTTGAGCACCTACTGTTTGTCAGAAGTATGTGATAACTAAACATGACTGACTCCTGCTCTTAAGGCACTAAGTCTAGTATAAAAGACAGTTATTAAATAAATACTTGCACACAAAAGTATTTAATTATAAATTAGTTAAGTGCTCTGAAGGGAGAGTGTAGAATACCATGGGAGGTATGAGAAGCGATCTAATTTGAATTGGAGGACTGGGAAGCAGAAAGTGAGGAGGAGGACTTTGAAGGGAAGGAAATGGCATGTGCAAAGGCCCTGAACTGACAAGCTGAAAAACATGGACATAAAGTGAGCTGAAGTGAGCACGATGTGAGAAAACACTGGATTGACAGGTGGCTCCCAATATGTGGACCTTGGATGTCGTGCCAAGAAGTTTAGCTTCTAACTTAAGTACAATAAGAATGCACTGAAGTGTTTTAAGCAAGGAAGTGGCATATCCTTTTAGAACCTTAGTTAGAAAGGGTTCAGAGTGAAGGAGTAAGAACAGTAACAGAAAATGTTGAAAGGTCACGGTGGTTGAGACCATGGGCTGGCAAATTACAATCATGGGCCAAACTCAGTCTATCACCCATTTTTGTAAATAGAACTCTATTGGGATGCAGTCATGTCCATTCATTTCTGTATTATTTATGGCTGCTGTTGCTCTACACAGCAGAGTAGAGTAGTTGCTATAGAGACTCTATGGCCCACAGAGATTAAAATATGTACTATCTAACTTTTTAGAGATAGCTTGCTGATCCTTGGTTTAGACTGAAGGGTTATTGATGTCCCTGCAAAAAAAAAAAAAAAAAAGGACTGATTCAAGATATATCTTAAATGGACCATAAGACCATCAATTTGAACTCCCACCTTATTCTGAAAGCTCAGAAGATATAGTCTAGAGTTGTAAATGAGTTTCTGAGGCTGTCATTTTGACTGTGGTAGAGATTTGTACGAGTTTATTTACCTCATATTTGTTCACTCCAGTCTTACTAAACTGATTTCATATTATTTTCAAATTAGAGGAGAATAACAGTTATTAACTATCATTGTATTTTCATTTAGTCACAAGCACTTACTGTTTGAATTACAAATTGCTCCAATAAAGACAGTGACTGCAGGTTTATCTCTGTTTTTATTTTTGTTTGTTTTCTTTAAGGTGCTGATCAGAAACCCACAAATATCTGCCAGGCTGGCAACGGACCCTAAAGAGAGGTATGGAATGTATCTGTCAGCTGCCTAATGCCCACGGCAGTCTGAAAGCATACCAGACACTCAGGACCTTGGTGGCCGGCTTACTTTCCTTATGTTCTCATTTTTTAATGGGCAAATGGAGGCACAGAATGTTCTGGGTCATTATGCCAGGTCACACTGCTCCAGGGAGGGCCCATTGCAAAGCTTTGTGATTAAACACTCACATTCAGGAGCCAGGGTGCCTAGATTTCATCCTGGTTCTGCTACTGAATAGATGGAAGAAGGATCACTTTGCTAATAATATAGTAAGGCACTCGACACAGCCCATGGCACATGAAAACACTCCAAAAGCCTGAGCTATCTTGTTTTATCCTGTTTTGTAAGAAAATCTTCTTAGAGTTGAACAATTGCCGTGTGTCCAAAACTTTATAAGTATCATTTCCTCCTCTCAAGGAGCCTGGGAGGTAGGCAATATTATCACTATGTTACCGAAGATACCACTGAGGAGTGTCTCAAGCTCCTTATGCTAGCTCTTATTGCCTGTGAGGATCAAGTCAAAAATCAAACGCAAGTTTGCTTGATTCCAGAGCTTGGGTTTACAACAGCTATGCTGCCCATTTTCTTGATGGTCCCTCATTCTGGGGAGCTTGCCCAGGCCTTCCAAAGGGTGAGGGACACGTGGGGACCAAAAGGAGCTGTGGTCAATGTGTCAGTTCCCTGAAGTCAACACAGGAATGTAGGAAGAAGCTGGTCCTCTGCTGAAGGTACCAGTCTTCTTTCAACTTCATGGACAAAGCCAGTTTCCTTGGTTGAAAGTCGTAACCCCTCATTTTGAGGAAGGAAGCAGGGAGAAGACCCATAAAGCCATAATTCTAACCACCTCTAGAGTTAATAGGAGCCTAATTGGATTAAAATTTTAAATTTTTATGGAATGGCTCCAACACTTTTAGACACCATGCAAGGGGGCTTAATAAGTTTGGTACTTATTAAGAGGTTTGTCATCTTACCCAGTCAAAGTAGTACAATGATACCAACGTAGAATTGTTCTGAGCCACCTAATTTCTTGTTCTTTAAAAATACAATCTCCCTAATATCAGTATACCTCTAAGTAGCCCTCACTATTTTAGATTTCCTTGGGGACAAAAAGGCTATAATTGCACAAATACTCCTGGAATAACTATAGAAAGAACATAGAATATTTTATATATTTTCTGCTAATACTAGCCAAGAAAATTAAATTCTACTCCCTGTTTACACCCACTAAAACGAAGCACTTAAAGAACAAATGGCTATTATCCATACATTTTGTGATTAATCTAATTCTAGTTTCTTAGTGTAGCCACCTTCATTTGATATTCCATTTATAAATAATGCACAATGCACCACTTCAACAATGATATGAAATTAGAGGTGAAAAACATGTGACTCCTAAGGGGAAGAACAAAGGAGGTTGGAACTCAATTTATTTGTTGTTGTTTTTTAAAAAAATAGTTATTTGGGTAAATTTGCGGCAGTCAATAAAGCATTCCTGTAGGGCTCCTTCATCCCTGGGTAGCCTTTAACTTAATTTGCATATTGGAAATTCAGCACTTTCTCCTGCTCTAATCAAGCTTGCCAAAAATACAAGCTAGCTTGCTACAGCAAGGATATTTTAGACACTAGTGGAGTATTGGAAAAAACAAAAGAATGTTGTAGGTACATCCTGTCTCCCCTGTTTGTTGTGGCCTTCTAGAGATGTCAGGTCAGAGGCAGAGATGCTAAGAAGAGGCACAACCGGCATGGGAGTCAGAAGACTGGGGCTCTCCATTTGCTTTGCTACTAACTAGCTACTACTCTTGGACCTGCCCTGGTTACTTTGGGTCTCAGCTTCCCCCCTGCTTTTTTTTTTTCTTTTTTTTTTTTTCAGATGGGGTCTGGCTCTGTTGCCCAGGCTAGAGTGCAGTGGTGCAATCTCGGCTCACTGCAAGCTCCGCCTCCTGGGTTTACGCCATTCTCCTGCTTCAGCCTCCTGAGTAGCTGGGACTACAAGCGCCTGCAACCACTCCCGGCTAATTTTTTGTATTTTTAGTAGATCCCAGCTAATTTTTTGTATTTTTAGTAGAGACGGGGTTTCTCTGTGTTAGCCAGGATGGTCTCGATCTCCTGACCTCATTATCCACCCACCTCGGCCTCCCAAAGTGCTGGGATTACAGGCGTGAGCCACCGCGCCCGGCCAGCTTCCCCCTTTTTAAAGAGGTTGTTGGCATATAGCTCCTCACTTGCCATTCTTTGGTATGGCTCTGTGTGTGTGTGTGTGTGTGTGTGTGTGTGTGTGTGTGTGTGTGTTTCCCCATATTCTTTCCTCTTGCGGATATGCCTTCCCACTGTTCTTCATGGTACAGTCTTTCTCTTTTTAGGACCCAGCTCAGCTATCACCTTAATGGCTACCAGGAGCTCGATGTACTGTTTATGTTCTGATAGCTCCTTATGTGCATTGCTATCATATTTTAGGAAACTTGTGAAAATCTCAAAAGAGGATATGGGAAGCAAATGGTATGAACACGTTATCTATTTTGGGAGCATTTTCAAAAACATAGGTCCTGTCTCTGTACTGAAAGAGTGAACAATTAATGCCTAGTAAATTCCTGTGTAAATGGTTTTGGTGTGAAATCCTAACAGTTTTGTTCTTCTTTATATGTTTCTATATATACACTGGAATCCTTGTTCTGTATTTCCAATTAATGCAAAAATTAACTGTAATTGAACACACCACCACCAAGAACACTCAGTGCTGCCACAAGGGCCAGAATGCCCGCTCTCCTGCCTAATTCCCTGATTGCAGCAGTCACCCCATTGTCCTTGAAGACACTTGACTGTGGGCTTGAGGGAATCACATGAATCCAGGGATCCATATTTGTTAACACTATTGAAGAGAACCATCAGTAATAGACAGTTTATATGTATTTCTTGCTATTGTATTTGGTGGGCAATACAATAAGAGCTCAGCTGTTTGAATGCTCTTTGTCTCTTTGTAATCAAAATATTAAGAATATAATCTGTTCTTAATCTTTTAAGAAGGGAAACTATGGCCCTAAATTTAAATGTTTTGCCTCCTGAAATGATCGTTTTTTCCTACTTCTCTTAAAGTTCTTCAAAAGCAAGAACTTGTCTTACGCTCATGTGTCTCACAGCCCTTAATCATACCTGGCATATAATATGTGTACAGTGAAATTGGCAAAGTGAAGCAGTGTAGAGCCTCAGAAAGAGCGACTGACTAGTTCTGTAACCTTGAGTAAGTAACAGTTCTTCCCTGGAGTTCTGCTGTCTGCTCCATAAAATAAGGAGATTGGGATAGACAATTTTAAAGTTCCTTTAGCACTCTAAAGTTCTCAATTCATTCAATGGCTTTTACTACACAGAAGCTGAAAAGCTCTTAGCAGTTCCCAAGAAGAGGACATGTAGGGCTGGAAATCTGTTTGCCCTGCCCTTAGTGGAGGAGGCTTCCACAGTACTCTGAAACGATCATTGCTCTGATGAAGTTTTTTTCTAGGGTGTTACTTTATTCCAGTCTCCGTGACTCTCCTTGCTCTTTGACTCTAACTTGCTGAAGGGAATGGAAATTGACTCTTGTAGAGTCAGGACCGAGGGAACAGGAATTGAGATGTAGCTTCCTGCATCTCAGTAGTCAGATCTTAGAAGAGGCAAAGATCCACATATTATGATCAGAGAATATTAATTAGATTATTATCCTGTGTAGAACCTCCTTTTTTCCTCACGTCTCTGTATGTACTCAGTTAACAGGTTATACTAAGATGGATTCACCCGGAATAAGATAAATGTGAGTTTACTGGCCAGAGCTGCAGGGATGCCTCACTCTGTTTCAGAACATTTTCTCCGGAGAGTACTTCAAAGGAAACGTATCAGAGGACCTAAACCCTTGAGAAAATCTTCACACTCTCAAATACAGCCCATTGCCATTCAGCTGAGCTTCGTGGAAAAGGTTGAGTATGGATCACTAGTTAGAAAGATGGGTAGCTCCAGGGCCATGTAAAGCTGCTGCTTTCTGCATGTGCCCTTGGATATCTGGTACAAGATCAGACCTCTAGAAAGCTGAGAAGTTGTAACTAGATACTGACAGCCCTTGGGTGCCACTTCATTTTACTTATTCCTCCTGGATTCTATGCAAGGTGTAATATATGGTCCAGAAGGCAGACTCCTATTATGAATGAAGCACTGTTTTCCCTGAGGCTATGGATGGGTTAAATAATCTCTCAAGCTCACTTCCAAATTTTACTCCAGGCTGACTACAGTTTTGCTAAACTCTAGATTGTGTTTGTGTGTGATAATATTTTTTTTAAAAATAAGAATGTCCAGATAATATAATCTGACATATTTAATCAAGTATTTGCAGAGGTCTCAACATCCAATAACTTTAGAGGTCAAGTAAATAAAGTATGTGGATAAAGCAGCCAGGCAAAAACAATAGAGTGTAGGAAGAACTGCAGAGTGCACACCCTGCTTAACAAATGCTATTCTGCCCAAACAACATATTGACAGGGCATGTTTATAACGGTGTGCAATTCCTAGTTTAAGGTAATTGTTGAATATCATTTATAGCATATATTCATTAGTTCAACACCTAAATATGTATTGAAGGGTCATGTGCCAAGTGCTGGGCTAGACACCGGATAGACAATAATGAAGTATAGAGGTCTGGAGTTTAAACTATTTATGCATATTTACCAGTTACTTCATTCAAAGCAGTATCAATTTGTTGTTGTTGTTGTTGTTGTTGTTGTTTGAGATAAAGTCTCGCTCTTGTTCCCCAGGCTGGAGTGCAATGGTGCGATCTCGGCTCACTGCAACCTCCGCCTCCCAGGTTCAAGCGATAATCCTGCCTCAGCCTCCCGAGTAGCTGGGATTACGGTCGCCTGCCACCCCGCCCGGCTAATTTTTGTATTTTTAGTAGAGACAGAGTTTCACCATATTGGCCAGGTTGGTCTCGAACTCCTGACCTCAGGTGATCCACCCGCCTTGGCCTC